GCACATAAAACGAAGATAAGGGTACTGTCGCATGGTTGCCGAAGCACGTGTACAATCGATCCGCGTTCTGATTCGTCGATTCGGCTTCATTGTAGCTAAGAATCAACTCAACATTGAGTAGACAAGCAGCCGCGTGCCGCAGATGAAAGACCATGGCATCTACGCCAACAGCAGCTACTGCGTCTCGCTGAATTGTTGCGTGATCGGTCCATAAAAGAAACACAGATGAAATTAGCATTACGTAAAGAGGATTCGTGCCGTTCAACATGCCGTTGTAACCGCACATGCAACACGCCTCATTATCACGTGAACTCGTCAAAAAGATCTTCTTCTTACTGAAATTGACCTTCGTCCTTCGCATATCGCATGCCACTATCACCAACACAACTTCAAACGTAAGCGAAATGACAACCATTCGACTTCACACAACTTCTGCTAACGCTGTACACAGAATTTTAATCGACGCACGAAACACGGACATGCGCACGCCAAGCGTTGGGATGTTCGGCATTTGCTCTCATCTAAGTTTACAGCGCACCCGTCAAGCCTAAGATCACCACCGAGAACTTTCGGCCCTGCAAATAGATACTCTGCAGGCATCGCAGGCGTACAACTATCTTGGCCGTACTCCTCTTCTTCGTTCTATCTGTCATTGTGTTACGTCTCTACGATCTAGACTGCCGTTTTCTGTCCCATTTCTGCAGTCACCGCTTTTGTTCTTCGCGCAAATAACTTCGTGATCGCTACAGCACCGTCACAAAGAATACGACGTGGCAAGAATACACCCACTCTTTTGATGACGGCAGTGGACGACGCTTCATACACACAGACAAAACGTAAGTCGTTGGGACAGCTCAACAACAACTTCACAGTCAATATTGCTACATTCAGGCCGTAGTCGGGTTTTCAGCGTTAGCCCATGTCATCGATAATCGTGTCGTAGACGATCCGTATTCTATGCGAATGTGCTAGAGTAGCCTCGCGTAAGCAAGGCGATTACGAATGGAATCGATTTGATGTATCTGACGTCAGGACTGATGAGAACTCGGAAACTAAGTGGAGGTCTCAAGAACGCGGATGAACGGCATTAGGTAGTGCGAGTAAAACAGTTTTAGATGACGCTTAGTCGACTTAGTTCGTTTTCTGCGTTCCGACCAAGCACTTTTGAGCGCGTTAGTTGATGCTCGTGAACAGTATTCCTGGTGAATAAGAGCGATTGAAACCCCACGAATTGAGTGAGTGAGCTTCATTGAGGTACTTAAAAGATCTCTAATGGCTAGGATGGGGGTTTACACCGCCAAGCTATGAAAAAAAAACAGGGGCTATACAGCTACCCTCCGACCGTAGGAAGCAACCGCCGATAGAGCAGAAATACTTGGACCCGGGGTATGTGTTGGAGGAAATGCCTGCCACTCGTGCACGTCAGTGCGGAGAAACCGTTGCACTCTTGCAATCAGTGGTCTATTGTCAGTAGCGCACGTTTGCTGTGACGTTTTGGAGTCCATCGCAATATTCGCAGCCAAGTCTTCCATTTTGTTGTTCGCGCGGTAGTGATGAGACCACCCGCAGATTCCTAGGCTATCCGCACATCTTCTCGCCTTGAGATAAAGTTGTCGGAGTCGGGGTTGACGCGGAGGCCGATGCCGCCGCATTTGCTGGATAATTAAAGAGCTGTCACCGACCACGTACAATGGTGTGAGATGTCTAGTTTCAGCGTGACGGAGGCCATGAATAAGCCCCCGATATTCCGCCATGTTGTCGGTTGTGCTGTTATGCGCATATGACATGCTCGCCGCCCAGGTAATCTCTGATGCTCGCGTGTCCAGATCAACACAGACCATGACCGAACCGGATCCGCCTGGACCGGGATTACCACGCGAGCCGCCATAAAAAAGCACATAGGCGCCCCGGTCTCGAATCGGTGGCGAGAGAATCGTCCCGTCAATCGTCCCCTTGAGACGATCAGCCAGCGCCCTGGTAGCGGCATTCTTCGGAAGTTTTAAAATATCCGTGTCGAATTTATAACTCAATGAAACCAAATCGCGCAAGGCATTGTCTACTGTAACGCAAATTACCGCCCGCAATGTCGATTGAAGCGCATCTGGCTCGTGGCGGAGACGAAGTCGCGCACACCAGATGGCTTGAATTGTCGTCGCCACCGTCAGCCTCCACAAATCCCTGGAAACCTCCCACGAATTGAGTAAGTGAGCTTCGTTGAACCTTAACAGATCTCTAATGGCTAGCTGAGGGCTAACACGCCAAGCAAAATTTATCTGACGCCAACAGACCACCGCGAACGCTGAATGTTGCTTTGCACATGTATGTTCGCCCCGTGGTTTCGACATAACACGCGATTCCGAGCTCATCTCCGCAGAATCTCTGCTTTCACTGTGTCGGATTCAGCACTAGCTCATTAGGTCTTCGAGCCAGCTTGTTGGAGTTGCACGTAGAACTCGCAGTACTTGCTTCGTATGACATCCCGAATGTGTCATACTCGATATGACGAAACAAAGGTCCGTTCACCTCTTATCTATAGCCTCAATTTTGTAGGCTCTCAAAGCCGTCATGGATTTACGATACTCCTTTCTCGCGGTCTTTCGAGATTGGTCCATGCTGGACGGATATGTATCGCTGGACAGAAGAGGAGTAATTCACGTCTTGATTGCCATCATGTGTGTTCGTACACGAGTATGAACCCAGCGAAGCACTCGAAAGGTGTAAAGGGATCGGTATCGACTTGAGCTTAGACTCACCCATAGATGTTAACACATTAATGACACTCCTGTCTGAACTCACCACAGTGCTCAAATGATCACCGTCCGAAAACGTACTCTGTCATAGTGTGCTAACTTCCACCAGTGCAGGTTCAAACAGCACACAAGTTGCTGTCCTGATAAACTTGTCACTTTGAGTGCTTGACAAGCTCTGGCGCTCCGTGCTTTCTGAGGCAGGATATTCAGTTAGCACGTAAGCTTTTTGTGCTCGATTGCGCAAATGACTCGTCATCATGAGGCTTCTGGTGCTTGGGCGTTTGAATGAGCTCCCACAACATGCAGCAGCCAATCCCTTAAACTTTCTTGGACGTCACTATTGTCGCATTCAAATATCATCGAACATCACTTCTTCGACCATATTTATCTTGCTGCAATGTCCTCATGCATAGCCGAACTCGCCAATGCATAAGTACGCAAGACACGTCAGAGATGATGGATGACGTGGCAATGGGCGATGGGACGTGGTTTGTTACTGAGGCCTGATTGTGCTTCATGTAGCCTCCGAAGGGGTGGGCGAAGAACAGCTGCTAGTTGCATCACACAAGTCGAAGGCTAGGGTATATGTATTCTGGAATATCATTTCGCGTCTGTAGCTCCCTGATGCAACAACTGCCCCTGTCCTTACAGTAGACGTGCTCCTTTTATTTTGTGTCATCCGCCGGTACTCCTACTTTGTTACACCTTTGAAGTTGCTGCGTGCCTGTTACTGCCTTCGACGGAGTCGTCGTCGTGTAGGATCGATACCCCACCGCGTCGTGGTCACAACCTAGGGATAGAAACAATGCTCAGGATACGCCCCAGTTGCTTCCATACATACACCTCCTCTTTCACCTCGTCAGAGTAGCCTCGGAGTGGGAGTTCCATGATGACGTTTGGATAGCTTCGGTGCCTGTCTGCGTGCACTATGTGCGAGCCGTACATCCAGTCTTCCAGCTACCGGCGATCTTCCGTGCGATGACATGTGAGCTTCTGTCAACAACAGGTTTGCGCGCATGGGCATATTTAGAAGATATGTTGCATGACCTTCTTCACACTACGGAAGCACGATAGCTTTCTCCACCCAAAATCACTTTCTCTCGCAGTGAAATAAAGAAGTAGCTGTCACACTTCTTTCCGATCCAAATCCCATACCTGGCACTTCGTGAGCTCGTTGCCACAGCCCAACCTATTACTGACTTCTATTGCGACGCAACTGCCAACTGTGCGCTGTCTTGTGCTGCATCCCGAAGCTTCGTCAAAGTCCTGGAAATGCCTCCACCTGCAATAGTTGTTTCTGTACAGCCCCAATTACGTCTGTGTTTGCTGTTAAGTCGGGCACAGATTCCACAGGTGACTGTAACGATGACGGTATATCAGCTGCAATTGCTGGTGTCGGCGGCGCAGTTGTAAAGCGACCACACCAAAACATACTGGAGACACACACGCTTCCACCGAAACGAAGTCTCGTAGGCATTGTTCTTAAACTACTTGTTATTTCATAGACGTTCCCTTTCACCAAACTGATTTTTGACCTGGCTATCATGAATGCGCTCGGTGTACTCGGAGACACTTTCATTGGAAGAATGTTACGTGTATACATTCTGACGTTCAAGAGTATTGTTCGCTCTCCTACACACAACAGCTACTGTAGCAGGTGAGAAAGGGTATCTGAAGTTATCAACAAGATGTCCTCGAAGTTGACCATGAGCACTGGTACTAGAAACGTAGTAAATAATCGGATTGAGACGAGTTGATTGTCTTTGGTTGTATTCGTTGTCATTAAACTTACAGTTGACTGTATTTGGTGCGCTTCCTGCTCTTAGTCCTACAATGCACTTGCAGCGCGTCCGAATTACACTCGTTGAAGTTCCTCAAAATGGTTCAACAACGACGCAAATAAAGTTGATCGTCAAGAACATTTTGCCACAATGCGCAGGTGAGTGTCGATGTCCCGCAGGAGTGGTCCTGGTGCAGGGCACGTCGACAATGAATCGAATCACCCTGCAAAACGAAGAAGTTCCTACCCTTCACGGTCTGCCTACAACTCGCCGACACGTTCGCTGAGCACGAGCCCGTTTCCACGAAGAGAACTCCCCCAAGACCGTGATGACTCACGTTGAGATCCAGTACCGGTTCTTCATGTACAGTAGCACCGAGCCAGATACTCGTCGTTTAGTGGTGCGTCTGGGCACATTTGAGCACGTTGTGAGCCCGAGCCGACCTGAAGAGCAAGAAGTCGACTACTAGGTGATGACCAGAAATTACGTCAAGATGCCTCACTGAAACTACCGCAGTAGCAACAGGAGTCCTAGTCAAGCTTCCTCTGTCCCCTGAATCAAATTGCCCCGAGCGCGAGAGCAGCCGCGCCATCCGGTAGAGTGCACACGAGAATCCAACCCTGGACTTAGTCAACGGACGGTTTCCACGGGCACTTTCGGGAGTGCCCCGCCGTGACGCCCGACGACTTGAGCCAGCAGAATCAGAAAGCTAGGAGTAGTAAGACTGTGTCATGGTCGGTGACTCGAGATGGTTACCACACAACCAGACATGGGAAAGCTAGGAGTCGTAAGACTGTATCATGGTCGATGACTCGAGATGGTTACCACACAACCAGACATCATATCAGTGAAAAGTAGCTATAACAACGGACAGTCTGAGCCTCTCTCACTTTAAGATTGAGGAAGAAAAAAAACTCGAAGGTGACAACCCCCTCTGTTGGACTGACCAGTAAACACCAACAGGTGTAAACGTGCTGGAACTGTACCAACCGTAGCGGTGCGTCCCAGCCAACTACTGTCCCGGTGCTGTGTCCTAGCATCACACTGAGCCACTATACAATCAAGAAAACGGCATCTCGCATGAGGAACACGACATCTCGCATGAGGAACACGACATCTCGCATGAGGAACACGACATCTCGCATGAGGAACACGACATCTTGGATGAGGAACACGACATCTTGAATGAGGAACACGACATCTCGCATGAGGAACACGATATCTTGTACTCCGTTGCACTCTCACTTTGTTGTCTCTGATGTCCGATGTCTTGTACTACGTCACACATTGTTCGAAGTCAAGTACATCGGTTTTGATCAGCATTTGCTAGACGACTTCTACCGTCCCGGTCGTTGTTAACTTAATCATCTAGCAGATGGACAGTCTGGTATGACGAAACAGCCCCTCCTTTGTCGGCTCTCTTCCCCCCTACGTCAGATGCTAACACACCCCTTACAATACGAATCACCGCAACAATGTCTTCTGTTCCAACCCCCCACCTGACACGCTATACTCACGAATGCCAAAAAAGACGACCAACGACCCCTTCCGTATGGTACATACCAGGTGGCGGCTGTTCATAGTTCGTTGCGTCATCGCTTCGTTGATGCTACATTCGACGTCCACAACGGCTACCATGAAGGGCACCCTCTCGAAGACGATCATACGCTGATGAAGTAATTCCTCACTTTTTTGCGCGGAGAAATCACAAACTTCTGCTTGTTACTTCAGACGAAGCCCTTGTTGCTAGTTGGTGCCCGGGTTTTCACGGATACCAGCTGGACTTTTCGAGAGGTTCTAAAGAGTTGTGAACTCGTGGTCTACCGACCATTAGACTTGGTGGTGATGCTGAGGTAATGTGCGTGCACCTTATATTGCATTTCTATTCGTTATTGACGTCAACGACGACGCTCGAAACATTCCTCAAAGTTACCCCTTCCACGGTAGTTAGTGCCAACAGCTCGTTCCAGATGTGCCAGATCATACGTGACCACTTCGTAAAAGTTGAACAAGCGGTGGGATGCGGTGAGAACTGCAAATTTTTACAGAATGAGAAAAGCTTCACTGTGACCCGTCCGAGCGTTTTATGTATGGGTAACAAAAATTGTGTCGATCAAGCTTTTGCTGATCGAGGCTTGGCAAGGGTGAAGCGCACTTGATGCAGCAACACGAAGCAGCTGTACAAATTGGCATTGCAGTTGTAACTAAATGTTATAGAGCAGTATGAAGCCACGAAAATATAGATGACAGATGGCCGTCCATACCCACGCTCGCAGACTTATAATAGTACCTCTCGTCCACAACTTAGAAGCTCGTTTTTACACAATGCTGGAAGTATGGTCGTGCGATTGTATTTTCCGTATTGCTTTTTGGATGCATGGATGATCCATCATATACCTGGATCTCTGGCGATCTTGAACCTCGAGCAGTGCCGGACGAGAGCGCCCTACAGATGGCGTAGTCAGCAGGTCGCAACCCTCTCGAACGTAAAATTTTACAGCAGGCTGAAACTGAATACATGGATGGTCAACTCTGTGTTCGGCTAGGTGAATCGTCTCCTAACGTTTGACCTTCCTTATGCGCTCAACGGCCTAGACCTCCGTTTTTTTCGCCTTGACTCTCATTCTGACACTCGCCAAGCCAGGCGAACTACCCCACAACATCGTACGCAGCTATCGTCCGCAATCATGAACATCAGGATCTGCGCATTCGTCATCCTCGCCGTGGCCGTCTCGATCGTCTCTACCCATGCCCAGTGGTTGCCGTACTGTGGTAATACGCTAGCTTGCGATTCCCAGGCGAAAAAAGAATCTGCAGCAAGAGAGTGTTGGCTCCGTGATTCCGAAACCAATTTCAGCGCGCGTGAGTGTTGCACCGCGCACTGCTCACCGAAGAAGCATTTTCGCCAATAGTTACGCGCAGGCCAGCCATAGGTCAAAGCGTCACTCGAAGTGTTCTGTTTTGTTTTGTTTGATGCAGCCATTGGATTCTTGACTCGTACTGCTACTGTGCTAGTCTAACCACCAACCATGTCTGCACGGTCTTTGATGTGATAGTTTGAATACAAAGCAGTTATACTTGCCACAAACTTGTGATCTTACATCGTGCATTGCTGTTTGAGCATCCATCGCAATGTAATAATCGATTCTACTTTACGCCGACCTGGTCAAAAAGTCGAGTGACGGCCAGGCGTATACGACGTCACGTTACTTACTCTCAACAGATGTGGTTTAGTCCTCTAAGAATGGGATTGAAAATGACATCGCCGTATTAAGACAGGAGAAAAAGCTCCGTACTTTTCAGTCGACAAACTTACTAAACAGAACTTACGTCACCCTTCTCTGTCGGTGGCAGAGGGGCCTCCCTGATAAGATAGGAGAGCAAGCTCTGGGGCTCGCCCTTTGGTATGTGTAATTAATTCAGTACAAAGAACTGATAGATAGGGGAGCAAGCTCTGGAGCTCGTTCTTTGATAAGTAATCCAGTTCATCGAACTGAACTAGTTGCAAAACACCGTACAACAAAAGACGCTGAAGAAAGATTAACATGTTGTCAATTTATGTATCAATCTCGTACAGCATACTAGAGCAACGCGGATAAGCCTTTGCTTATGAGCGTCTAGCATTTACTTGTGTGACCATAATCACTATTGACCGATTATAAGCCATTAACAAGCGTGTGACACAATATTGACCAAGCCAAAGAGTGACTCTGGATATGCCTATATACCTACGAGAGGGGACAGGCTAGGTCGCACTTGGTTCGCGCGGGGTACACCTAGCCACGTTATTTACAGACACTCACACAGACACAGACGCACAGACACAGATACGTACGAATAAAAAGCTCGGCATTCACCTGGCGCACAGTCACTAATATTTTCACTCTTAGAGCTCGCAAATTGTTTTTGGGTATCGATAGAAAGCTCGCATGACAAACTGAAATTGTTTGAATGACCAATCTGATCAATAATCTCCTTCGGATGTATGGACGGTCAGGGGGCGCTGAGCAAACGTATCGCTTTCTCTCCCTCCCTTCAACCTCCTACCCCATCAGCATTTCACTTCACGTGCCGATCAAGTGCTTGCTTTTAGCCAACACAAAATGGAATGCGTCTCAAAATAGTGTGCATGATCCATATGACTGTGGCACGATCCGTGGCCTGACTCATAAGGGATTCGGTAAGTGCACAATACGCACGAGCAAGTGCACTTTATGTGAACCACTTGCTTACGTAGCGATAGTTTTGCTAAGGGAAGCGCCACGGAGCTCTCACTTTTGCGAATGGACACTCGACCTCTTTTACAATTTAGGCTTCGATGCTTTTGATTGCATACATACGGCACAAAACGAGTTTCTTACAAAATCGACACATGATAACGACTCCAAAACGATGGAAAAGGATCTAGATTCGAAGTCAACGGGAAACAGAAGACAGGAGAGACGCTGTTTGAGATGTCGACGACCAGAAGTCTAGTGAATTTGCGCGGCTGGTGGCGTATATGGTACCAACAGTGGGTAGCGTGCGGTATGCGGCATATTTACTCTACCGCATCGACTTACGCACAACTTGTTCGAAATTACTTTGTCCACGAGGTCCTCTGTATATGCACGCAGCACCTTCATTGTTGCAGACTACAGAGTATCACATCTTGTTGCAGGTATCATCGAGTGAGTCGAAATGCCAGCTTCGCCCACACGGTTAATGGCATTAGCATCCAGACGAGTAGCACAACGTCCCACATTGAACGCCTGGAGGCGAATGCCATCGGAACAGCATAGACGAAGTGACAATGTCGATGAGAACTCCTTCTCACGGCTTTGGTTTTTTCAGCGGCAGCGGATTACATGGTTTGTAAATCGACGCCGTCTCGGTGCTTGTGCATCATTGTTATAACCTGGCACATTACCAACTATCGTTTCCTACTGTGTGTATTGTTATCTACAGCAAGAGCACATAAAACGAAGATAAGGGTACTGTCGCATGGTTGCCGAAGCACGTGTACAATCGATCCGCGTTCTGATTCGTCGATTCGGCTTCATTGTAGCTAAGAATCAACTCAACATTGAGTAGACAAGCAGCCGCGTGCCGCAGATGAAAGACCATGGCATCTACGCCAACAGCAGCTACTGCGTCTCGCTGAATTGTTGCGTGATCGGTCCATAAAAGAAACACAGATGAAATTAGCATTACGTAAAGAGGATTCGTGCCGTTCAACATGCCGTTGTAACCGCACATGCAACACGCCTCATTATCACGTGAACTCGTCAAAAAGATCTTCTTCTTACTGAAATTGACCTTCGTCCTTCGCATATCGCATGCCACTATCACCAACACAACTTCAAACGTAAGCGAAATGACAACCATTCGACTTCACACAACTTCTGCTAACGCTGTACACAGAATTTTAATCGACGCACGAAACACGGACATGCGCACGCCAAGCGTTGGGATGTTCGGCATTTGCTCTCATCTAAGTTTACAGCGCACCCGTCAAGCCTAAGATCACCACCGAGAACTTTCGGCCCTGCAAATAGATACTCTGCAGGCATCGCAGGCGTACAACTATCTTGGCCGTACTCCTCTTCTTCGTTCTATCTGTCATTGTGTTACGTCTCTACGATCTAGACTGCCGTTTTCTGTCCCATTTCTGCAGTCACCGCTTTTGTTCTTCGCGCAAATAACTTCGTGATCGCTACAGCACCGTCACAAAGAATACGACGTGGCAAGAATACACCCACTCTTTTGATGACGGCAGTGGACGACGCTTCATACACACAGACAAAACGTAAGTCGTTGGGACAGCTCAACAACAACTTCACAGTCAATATTGCTACATTCAGGCCGTAGTCGGGTTTTCAGCGTTAGCCCATGTCATCGATAATCGTGTCGTAGACGATCCGTATTCTATGCGAATGTGCTAGAGTAGCCTCGCGTAAGCAAGGCGATTACGAATGGAATCGATTTGATGTATCTGACGTCAGGACTGATGAGAACTCGGAAACTAAGTGGAGGTCTCAAGAACGCGGATGAACGGCATTGTAACGGGGTGAATCGTTACATAACAATTTATAAGAAATTGTTAATAGAATATAACTATAAGAGTTATATTCTCAGAATATTGTCATAAGGACAATATCCTGTAGCACTTCCAAGTAGTTCCTAATTGGTTGATATAGGCCATTATATCAACCAACGAAGACGCGCC